CCCCCCTCCCTTCTTCTCTCCTCCCCCTTTTCCACTTTCTCACATACACATACACATAGCGAGGTCAGTGGTCTCGCTGCAGATATCCCCCACAGGCGCAGGCCGTTCGCACTCGAGCTTATCACCCCTTGTCCCGGCCGCTTAGAGGAGGGTCCGGGAGAGGGAAAAAAAGAGAACAGGTGTCAGGCTCCGGGATCTGCTTCTCCAGCACTGACAAATTATAGCCGGGGTCAGTCCGTTAAAGGGAGCGCCGCCCTCGAGTGTGTGGAGCGGGCGGAGCGGGCGGAGTGGGCAGAGCGGGCAGAGCGGGCAGAGTGGGCAGAAACCCGGAGAGACGTAGGGAATAGAGGACATCTCCATCCAACATCGAGAGCATGAACCCTCCAACACCAGTTGGTAGCAGGTCTGTTTTAATGTAGCAAAAATATATTTTGCTTTCCATCTAAGACACACCCAGAAAACTGTTCAGTCCAGGAAACAAAATGCAAAACCGATGAAATTTTAGCTCTGCACAAATTGTATCTGTGACGATGAAATAATTTGGTCAAGTTGACTTATTTTGGTGCGTCCAAATTTCGTAAAAAGTAAGGTTACTACAAGGTTTTAGTCGGTTTCAGGAAATAAATTTTGTCTCTTACAACTCTGGTTTAGTTCAATCAACTCAATGGTTTTCTGGGTGTAAGAGAAGATAACGGCAGGGGTCCGCAAGCAAAAGCAAACAAAAGGAATTATTACTATTGAGCTGCAAACCTAACAGAGTACTAATACCGTGACACAACAACTAGGAGCGAGCTTTTCTTATGGGAGCTCTTCCTAACTACTACCACCTCACCTACCGCAGCAGGTAGCCAGGATACTACCGCAGTAACATCTCCTTAGAAAAGCTCGCTCCTGGCTGTGATTTAGTTAATAAACTACTGTACTATAGTACACGCAATCAACTTGCAAGCATACACCATTCAAGTGTATACTTCCCAGTGGGAAGTTCCCACAGTACACATGAAAGAGGGTGCATTCACTACTTATCCTAGGCATATGGAGGTGGAGAAGACCTCGGAGGAGATGGTTTCGGCAGCAGGGTATGTGCGTTCAAACGCAAGAGGTTGCTTGTTGCGGCACCCCCTTCCCCTCCGGGCAACACGATCGCCTCGCCATAATTCTACCCCCACTTCTCCCCACCGCGCTCCTTAAGCGTGATAGTTTGGGCTATTTGATGGGGAGAAGCATGGAGGGAGAGCCCCACCCAGCCGGCCCACGCCCATGGGGTCGGTCATGAGCGGGAGGGTCAGGCAGCAGAGACCAGCAGCCGACCAATCGGGCGTTTAGAACTCAGCAGTGACGGCGTGCTCACGGATCGTCATGAAGGAGCACCTGATCAGTAAGCTACATGAGGGCGAGCGAAGGGAAGCGAGCGAGAGTGGGCAAGCAAGAGAGAGTTAGAGGGGGGAGAGCGGGTGAAGGTGAGAGGGGAAGGGGCGTCGAGCGAGAGAGACCTCTCGCTCTCGCCTCCGCAGCAGGGTAGCAGAGCCATCCCCCCGTAAAAGAGAGGTTTACAGGTCCATAACAAGGCTGCGCAACAAAATTAAATCTGTCGTCCAATTCTGTTGAGCGGCCTGCCTCAGCTCTGCGCTGCTCGGCAGTGGCTCTACTGCAAATCCCTCCCCTTCTATTCCTCATCCACCCCAGTTTGTCCCC